TCATTAGGAGGACTAAAATCAGAATATGGAAGCAGTTTAAATGGAAAATGACTAAATTCGCTGTGTGAGTATTGATCACAAAATTCCCATTATCGTATTGGTGATGAGTTTGGAGTTGGTTTGGTACAGTAGATGGTCATATGGAGAGGAATATTTCTGTAGATATTGTGTACTGTAATTCCTTAGGCATGTATAGGGTACAAATCCTATTCTCATCATTAACTCATTTAATCTTCAGACTAGTCCCATTAAATGGCTATATCTCAGAGATGAGAAAGCAAAAGCTAAAACTTGTTAATTTGCTTCTCCAAGGTTAACAGCAAAGAAACAGGACTGTAAAAACAGTATCCAGTTTTTCTGATTCCTGGTTCACAGCTACAAGGTGTCTGCAACCATTAGGCTGAGAAAGCAGACACAAGTCACAGAGAATCAATGAATAACCAGATATGCATATAAATCTCAGAGTAGATACTCATATTTCAAACTCAAGATATTCCAGATACACTCTTGGAATAATTACCATTTGGACAGGCAAGGCAGGCTGAATCAGGAGAAATTGGGTGGGGTAGGAGGGGAGGAGATAAGGAGTGGCTAAAGTCATGTATGGTATCAAATTTGAAAATGCTCCCTAAAAGTTGCCTAACTCTCATTTGAAAAGACATGATGGAGAGGTTTGTGTGGGATCCAGGCAATTCCTTGGGTACAGATCTGCCAAAGAATTCTGCTTGACTTGGCTCTAGTGTTTCCTTCCACAAAAGTTCATAGCTATACTTTAAGTCTTAGGGTACCAGACTTAGACTCCAGGATGTGTGCCCCAAGGCAAAAAAAATGAACTATATGGAACTTGCGGGTATTTGCATATAATTCCACATCCCACAAAAAAACATTAAAGTATAGAATTTCTCATACGGGGTGGCTAATGAACACCTTCAATCATTGAGATGTACTTGTAAAGTCACTAAGACTTGAGTTTTCTACCTTAATTTGTATTGAAGGCACACAGTTCCCTATGGTATTAAGCTGAGGGAACATAGAGGTAGACTTGCAACCCCTTGGTTGCTCATTTTTTGGGGGGTAGGTTGTTCAAGTATCCAAAGGGGAGGAAGAAAGGAATGAGGATGACCTAGGCTGCAGTGCTGAGTCAGAGATGAGAGTCTTTCTTTATGCCAGGACTCAACGTGGTGCTCATGAAAAAGAGGTATGATATACTGCATAATGGTACATGGCATCCATTCTAGCACATTTTGATGCCTAAATGTGATTAATGGATCCAGAAGAAAAAGACAGAACCATTATCTACTGATAGTATAAGGATGGGTATTTTACAGTGAATATGGGAGGGAGAACTGGTAATTGACTCTATTAGTGAGGGGTTCCAGGATCCCTTCTTATAATGCTCACATAATCCTGTGTATGTTTATGCAGTACTGATTCCATATGACTCCACATTCAAAGAAGCTCAATTCAAACAATCAAGGGTAATACAATAAGAATTTTAAAGTCAGGCACGGTGGCTCACAACTGTAATCCCAACACTTTGGGAGGTTTAGGCAAGAGGATTGCTTGAGCCCGGAAGTTCGAGACCAGCCTGGGCCACATAGAGAGACCTTGTCTCTACAGAAAAATAAATAAACAAAAATAAACAATAATTCTAACTTTAACTTTCATGTCTCACAAACTATAAAAGTATTCCATTTGAATTGTCCACCAATCTCTTATATCCCTTTCTGCCTTCCATTTCTCATTACTCCCCCATTACAAACAAACAGCAACAAGCAACAGCAACAAAACATCCCTCAGGCTGTTTTGTTCTCTCTCTCCATCCCCACCATTCTTTTTTTTCTCCAGCTGTCTAAATGTAAGTTAATGTATCTTCTTTCATTGTGCTCTTCCTTTTATCCTTTGTATCTTAAGTCCATTCTCTGCCTGTTAGTCCTGTGTCACAAAAGGAAACCCCAAAAGGAAGAGAAACATTTCTCTTTGAAGGGTAGCAAGCTCTAAGGCCAAGGATTGCAAGCCCTTCAGAGGGAGAACTGGTGGGACATCTTATGTTCACTGGAAACATCTGTGGCTATAACTTCAGGGAGACATGGAGTCAGTTGAATCAATTAGGAGCAGAATAAAACAGAATGCAAGCACATCAATGCCCATGAAGGTCAGGGAAAAGACCCAAGCAAGCTTAAGCCAGTGGAGGGGGTTTAGCAGGTATCTGGTCTCTGAGAACTCCTATATTCAGGAGCCATAGGTGATGATGGGGCACTAAAGAGATGCTGATACTAGGTTCCTGAGCTGCAGTGTTGCACCTATTTTTTAGAAGTTTCTTTTACCGTAATACCTCTTCCTTTTAGGTAGATGTAGACAGCATTCTGGCCAGCAGTAAGTTAGTAACAGCTTCAATCAATCAATGCAGTTTTTTCCTATTTATATTTAGGACTGGAGTCAAAAGGGATACACAGAGGTGAAGGAATTCACCACACATTTCACTGCCCTTTGGGGACACCTCTAGACACAGGAAGACATTGTAGATTATGGAAAGAATGCATGCCATGCTTAATTTATCTCTTCTTCCCCATTCTCTCCTCTCCTCTCCTCTCCTCTCCTCTCCTCTCCTCTTCCTTCCCCTCCCTTTCTCTCTCTTCCCCTGTCCTTTTTTCTCCCCTCCCCTCTTCCTTGCTTTCCTTTTCTTATCTCTCCTCTACCCTACACCCATCTCTAAATTGTTCCTATAAACTAGAACAGCAAAATGTCTTATTTTCTCTAAAAAATACTGTATATGTAAACATTGATCAGCATCACAGCCCCCCTCACTCCCCCCCCATACACCCACAGTCAGTGAGTTTTGCCTTTTGGGGAGAAATGTGATCATGTGACACCCATTGATTGAGTCTAATGGACAGTTTTAATAGGAATGAAAGATGATGATGATACTCAGAGGAGGTTAAAACTACACAAAGGACTCACTTTAGAGTTGATCTTACCCTAGAAACATAAAGTCCCTTCCTCCCTCCCAAAAAGTCACACATTTCAGAAATAGCTGTGGAGAAGGAAGTGAAATTTCTTCACAAGCTCACAGATGATGGTGACGTGGATTAAGCCAGGCTTTAGAAAGAGCAAAATTGAAAGAGCATATCTGACTTACAAATCAGTGGCAAAGAATGAGAACATTTCAGGCCTATCAAAGAGGTATTTAATTCCATTAAATTGGATACTTTTTCCAGGTAGACAATCCGCAAATTGCTTTTGCCTCTAATTCAACTGTAACTCTAAGAATCATGTCAATGATCTTATATGTGCAATGTACTTATGCCCCTAGATAAATCAAAATTCACATTTTACCTCATATAATAGCTGCTGACCAGTCACTGAGACATGCTTCACATTTTATCAGTTATGATGGTGATATGACAGTGCATGTTGTTCTTAACTCTCTGAGGACTCTTCACCCCCAATATTAACATAGTTCCTTTTCTTCTCTCTAGTCTCTCCAACCAGAAAATCGGTAGCTGGATGAGAACCTTAACTTTTAAGTTATTCTGCTGGGAGCCTGAGGCAAGGAGTAATCCTATTAGACAAAAGATGTCAAGAAAGTATGTCCTAAGAGTAAGGTGTCCCGACCAAAGGAAGGACTGAATGATTCAAAACAGAACCATGAGAAAGAGACAGAGGGACATTCTGGAGCCTACATGGCTAAGAGGCCGACTGCATGTGAAGTGGAAACCCCAGTGTTTCTGAGCACCAGTGGCTGGAAATGGAGACATTGCTTTTTAAAAAATTTTTGGCATTTATGTTCATATGGCTCCTAAGGTAGGAGCTAGAATTAGTCCTTGGGGCATTCTGTTCCTTTGTTTTGGTGAGGAACACATTTCATCAGCATGTTTTTACCCTATAGATGGAAGCCAGTCCCTGGTCCTTGTTCTTGGGGTTACCCTGAACTCTGTTCATAACCAAAGCCCCCAGAGCTTCAGGGTGAGGAGTTAGTTTGGCTAATAATGAAGAAGACTCTTCACTGGGGGCACGACATATAACAGCACTTATTATTATAATGTGGATAAATGCTTTGTTTTCTGTGGCAGACAGGGGAATGGGAAGGCAGAGACAAAGGTTGGGGCCCTGGCATTGAAATTGAAGAGACACAAAGGTAGGAAGTAGATGAGTAACATGGTGGTGAGCAGGAGCTAAAGACTCCATGTTTAGAAAAATAACAATATACACCAGGGGGAGTGATCACTGATATTCTCCCTTTGTATTTCTGTTCCCTTTCTATAATTTCCTTGCGTTATCCTCAAGGCTTGAGCATCTCTTAAACAAAAGATGTTAGTGCAGTAAATCTTAGGAGTAAAGGAGGAATCTGCACCCTTGCATTCATGAGCAACATAACTGGAGAAAGTATACTCAATATGAGAAAACCGTAGCTGGCCAGGGAGATATGCTGTTGAGAGGTGACAAGCAGCAATAACCCAGTTGGGAAGGTTTGTGGGACATGGAGTAGGAAGGAGCCTGGAGTGGTAGGTCCCTGGGGTTTCTCCCATCATTGTAGGCTTAATCTCTCAAGTAGAGGGTGGCTAGGCATGCTGTCATCTGACTGATGGAAATCAGAGGCAGATGGAAATGAGAGGCATGAAGCATTACTTTCTTGAAATTGTATTTTCAGGTTCATCTAGGTTCCTGGGCCTCCCCACTATCTTGATGACATGACCAATCACAATAAGGCAGTTAACTCCAAGACATGGAATCCCATGGCACATCAAGATAGTCTAGCCGCACAGAAAGCCACAGGCTCATAACAAACTGACCAGCCCAGGGCCACTTGCCAAACAGGCACATACACCTTTCAGATAGCAACACGATGAGCCTCAATTGACCCAAGCATTTCAGGACTTCAAACATCATATCAGAAGATTCCTGCTGGGCAGTGATTAGCAGAGAAGTGACATGGTCGTACAGCTGTGTTGGGATCACCTAGGGTCAGTAGCATCTTCACGACAGTGGCAGGGACTCACCTCCTTTTGATGGTGAGCATCACACCCAGAAGAATAATGATGAACATGAGCAGACCAGCGATCACACCAGCCATCTTCACGGTGTTGTCCACCTGTTTCTCTGGCTCCACAGTGTTAGAATTCTGGGTGGAAGCACCTTGCAGGACAAAAGGGAAGGAGAGAGATGCTGAAAGGCCCACACATGTAACTAGACAATAAGCAGAATGACAACAGCTTGATTTAATTGTGCTCTAACTATGTGCCAGGCACTGTGCTAAGAGCATTACACATATTGTCCTATTTAATACCTTTTGAAGATTAATCCCTTGTGAGGTTGGGATTATCATTAGATCCTATTATAGATGAAGAAACTGACGTGTAGAGAAATTGAGTTTCCCAAGGTTACATAACTGCTGTGTTGTAGCATCCTCTTCTTCCAGTGAGATCAAATGGATAATTTTATATCATAGTGCTTTGTTCCTAGGATGAAACCATGGAACTACAGTTCAGTTCTTGGGCTCATGGAATTATTTCTAACCCTACTTTATTCTTTCAGGTAAATGGTGGAAATAACCATTTCCTCTTAAGGCAACACCGGACTTTTAAATTTAAAAAGAAAATGTTTATGTTTTATTCCTTATAGGAAACAAATGTAGGATAAAAATCTAGTGTATTTAAGAGGATTTCCTTGGGTTCAAAAAACACTTATATCAGATTAATTCCATTTTGACACTTGATACTAATGTGACATGCTCTACCAGGTGCTAACTTGCTGACTCAATTCCTACTAAAGGAAGGCAGGGAAGTGGCCGCTTTATCCTCACTCTTGTGCTGGGTGATTTCATGGATCTTGCCTGTTCAATCCTCACAAGTATATCAAAGGTAGATATTGATGATCCCATTTTATAGATGAGAAAACCAAGGGAACTTGCTAAAAGGCACATAGCTAATAAAGGGAGGGCTAGGATTCCATAGGTCTCTGACTCCAAGTTTAGGCTTCAGTGGTCAGAAATCTTGAATTCAACTCCCAAGGTACCTAGTTTCTCAATCTCCCTCTCCCTAAAACAACCATTTTGCTTATGTCAAAGCAAAAGTAAGTATCCAAAGAGCACCAGAGTCCTGCCTCTTCACACCATGTACCATGGATCAGAGGCAATTTCTTATTTCAGATATTATAGAGTGTGGTCCAGGGGCTACCAGCGTCCTAATTGAATTTCTTCCTGCTTCCATTCATGTTCCCAATGGTGTCACATCTGTGTGAGGCAACTTAAAATCCAAAGCATCCTTTTCCTGACTCATTCCTACTTCTCCCCCACATCAGCATCAGCTCATCCTTCATTTACCAGTATACTTTCTCTGGGCCTTTGCTCCTGGGAGAATTTCTCTCCTTCTCTTCTCTAAATTCTGTTAACACTTTATGACACTTTGCACATACCTCACAATATCCTTCACCACAATGTACCAATATTATTAGTTATTTGTTTTCACATCTGTCTTCTCTAGTGGTCTGCAAGTTCCTCAGAGGCAGAATTATGCCTCATTTATCTTTGGTTTCCCATGTTAGCACAGAGTCTGACCAGTAATAGGGGTTCCCTAAACGTCTGTGGTTGCTCAACGCTTAGCTAAAGGGATGACGTTTCTGCCCACATACATTTGTTCTTGTGGAACCAAATTGAGTTTTCTCCTTTTTTTAGTTATGTGCTCACAGAACTCAGATGAGTCTTGAGTTTGAGGGATGCTACTACCCATAAGCTATGGTTCAGATTCCCCGAACTCACTGATGTTTAAGAACAGCCCCCTGGCATATTGAGGCACCCCTTTCTTTTTGCTTTAGAGTATTGACTGTTTTTGCTCTCGGAGTACTTCCTCCAAACTGTTGTAACTTAGACAAATTGGGTTTACTTAGCCATGTCTCCCTAGTGAGAATGTTACCTCTTCAGGAACAGGGAGTGAGTCCTAGTCATCTCTCTGATGCCAGAGTCTAGCACATGTCTCCTTCCTCATCAATGTTGCCTAATAGATGATTATGAAATGATATGAAGGTGAGTGAATCACAAGTTGCTTCATTGATTCATTCAATCGATTATTATTTTGCCATTGAGCACACATGTGCTGTGTGTCAAACCATGCTGTCTGTAGGGTTGGAGTTTCTTCTTTTGGAAGGACTTTCAGATGAGGGATTTTATTCATTTTTTTTGCAAGCCAAAAGTAAGGCCAACTCTTTAAATTTCAGGGTTGTCTGAGCAGCCTCTGCCCATCTACAGGCTAGAGAACTCCTGGGGGAGTTAGCCAACCACCTCTTTAGCAGGGCTGCTCTAGCCTTCCGGAGTCGGGGCTGGTTCTCAGTGGCTCTCATGTAGCCCCTGTTTCTCAGTTTGGAAACATGATTTCTGAGATAGGGATAATCTACAATATAGCAAGTATAAAGGAAGTAGAGCATCTCAGACCACAATTTCCTAAATATTGATAGAGTATTTTTATTTAGCTTTGAAGCATTCATTCATTGGCTAAATTTTACTTAGTGCCTGCTATGAGGTCCTATTCTAGAGACTAAAAAAGCATAGAGCCTCTGGAGAGAATCTTATTACTCTGGGAATACTGTTATTAGCTTAGTCTAATGAGACTCATACTCTATTCCTTCAGTAAGTAATAATAAGCACCCACTATGCACCAGGCATTTGCCAGGCAATTCCATGATCAGCAAGACAGGCACAGTTCCTACCCTCAAAGAGTCTATAATTAGTGGTGGTTGGGGCTAGGGGATACAATTAATATTAAGAGTCAGCAATAGTAAAACTTTCAACACTGTTAATCAACAAGGGTACCTGCACAATGAATATTTGTATACCTAACCCTGAACTGTACCCCACATTAAAAAAAAAAAAAAAGAGTTTGAACAGAGAGGCACATGGCACTTGGAAAGCACATAATAGGAAAATGAATCACTTTTGGAAGGAAGTGGTCAGTAGGGTGACCTCCAAGGGAAGATTGGCTGTAATTAGGCGAAAGGAATACGATAGGGATATATGGGAGTGGCAGAAGAAATAACCCTGGGTGAGGCTGTGCTATAGGACAAGCACTGTGGTGCATTCAGGAAATGAAAGACATATAGTATAAAGCAGGGTGAGAGGGCAAGGAGGGGAGGGTAAGAAAGAAGCTGGAGAGAGCAGCAGGAACCAATCCACACAGGACATTACCAGACACAAAGAGGGTTTTTGCTCTTTAGCCCAAGAGAGTAAGGGAGATATTTAAGTGTTACTCATGGAGCAATGATATAGTCAGATTTGTATTTCCAACAGATCTTTCAGCATTAATGCTGAACCAAAGTGGATTGGTGAGATGAGTTTTGAGACCACTGCAGGTATGCAGGTAGGAGATGATAGTGGCTTAGATGTAGGTGATGGCAGTGGAGACAGAGGGGTGAGATATAAGAGATAATTCCTTGAAATAGATATAGATAAAATCTGTTGATGGATTGGATATGAAGAATAAAGGGAGAAAAACGGTCTAGGTTGACTACAAGTGTTTGATTTGTATGACACAGTGAATGATAGTGATGTTTTATGGGTTCCAGAAACAATGGAAAATGAATAGTTTTAGGGGGGAAATGAATTTGGGATGATTTGAACTTAAGACATACTCCAGAAAAGTAGGAAGTTAAAAATGCAGATCTGGAGTGCTAAATAAAGGTCTGAGCTGGAGGTAAAAATGTGTGAGTCATATGCACATTGATGGTATTTGAAGCATGGGAGTCTTTGGAAGAAATTACTCAGGGAGAGAATAAAGAGTGAATGGAGAAGCAAACCTAGAAGAGAGACTTGAAGGACTGCAGTATTCAGTGAGTGGGTAGAGAGAGAGAAACCTGCATGGGAAAGAGGAACAGCCAGACAGGTAGGAAGTAAACCCAGGGGAGTGTTGCATCCTAGATCCAAGAAAAGACAATGTTTCAAGAAGGAGAAAGTATGCTTGGCGTGGTGGCTCAAGCCTGTAAACCCAGCACTTTGGGAGGCCGAGGCGAGAGGATTGCCTGAGTCCAGGGGTTCGAGACCAACCTGGGCAACTTGATGAGACCTCATCTCTAAAAAAAGAAAAAAAAAAAAAGAGAAAGCGATCAACTATGTTCCCAGAGTAGAATCATGCTCCATACAAAAAGGAAAGTGAAGATCTTAGATGAGTATTAGAAAACTTTTCCTCCAAAAATTCAAGATATTTCTAAATAGAAAATAGAAACAACTTCAGAAGTGACCATAAACCAACAATAGAACCTACTTCAGGACCACAAAGGAGCATCCAGAGACTTTAGAGAGGCTGTCTCAAAGGCCAGAGCCAAGTGGTTTAGACAGATTCAATGAGTTCAGTCAACAGGCATCAGAGATGACATCACAGACTCCACACAGTTAGGTTTTTGAAGAAGCCATGCTTGGCTAGTTCAATCAGACTTTAGATACAGGAATGCGAACATGTTCTGGGGCATGGAAAATCCAACTTTCACTTCAGCACTCTTTAAGGGAACTTGCTCTAGTTACTATGAATTTATGCCTCTGTTCATAACAGAAGAGTGAAGACAGGGTTCAAAGGTGATGCAGAGATAGAGAAAATGGCTTTGAGAACAAAGGCCAGACAGCATCCACGTGTGGCTCCTATATCTGAGAGGAATGGAGACAGGATAGGACAGTACTGCTCTGGTGGCAGTCAGGAGTGTGTTCATAGTTGTAAAAGTGCTCCATGTAGCAAAATGTGAGCCGGTGATACAGAGTCATAAGGCCTTGGTGACTGAAGGCCTCCTGGTAAGTGATGGGCTTTCCACAGATGCCAGCACTAGGTCCACATAGAAGGCTGTCTGCCTGACTTAATGACCCAAAAACCCAAGAGGGCTTTTCAGAGGGGTGGAACTGCAAACTCTTCAGTGGATGGCAGGTGGATTACTTTTACCCAAACCCATCTTTTCCAGAAGTCAGAATTAGTATCCATCCCCATCCCCAAAAGGCTATCTCTGACTCTCAGTAACTTCTGTCTGTTAAGCAGGGGCTGGGAACTTGAGGACTGGGAGAAGGAGAAAGGATTTGGATACATTCTCCACATCTTTGCTCTCCACGGGCCACAAGTAAATCAGAATTGGCAGCTAGGAGGCATCAGGTGATAAAGTTATCCAATTGG